AAAGAACCGCCCCTTTTGGTGGGAAAAGGTCCACTCTGGGTAAAATTTGATCTAGGTTCATGAAGTTCTTATGGAAAAAGGTCAACTTTTTCATAAAAAGAACCCCCCCCCCTTTTAAAATTGCTGGCTACGGGCCTGATAGGTTAAGGGATGTGAGGGGGGGAGGGGGGGGGCTAACTCCATCACTTAAAAAAAAAAAAAAAAACGTTAGTCGTTAGCGCAGGACACCGGGTTAGGTTAAGGAGAACACACACCCGTCACTTAACTTTTGCTTGAATGTTAAGCCACCTCTCCCATTTCTCAACATTTTAATACTTCATTAAAATGCAATAAAATGTATTTCGGGGCTGCAAGCTTCTTGGAATAGGAGTGCGTGAGCTGAACCGTACTAAATAGGTCACCCCAAAAGGGGCTAATAGTCAAATCCATCCTTATTTCCACCCTGATCAATATTTACCAGTGTAAATCATTCGGTACTCCTCCGCATCGTGAAGGGAGTAATTCAGTTTTTTCGTCCACACGGTCACAAAGTTATTCAAGATAGTGAATCCCGCAAGAGACTTGAAAAAGTAGGCCAAGAAAATGGAGAACGTTGTTGCTGTACAGGCTATGCGACCGTCAACGAAGTAAGGGGTTTGTTGATCGATGTCCACGCTCGACACCTGGATGGACACGCTAACAGAGTTGTCACCGGTCACCTGACTCCCCTGACCGTGGTCAGCGTTTTGACCACCACTATTTTCGTGTCCACCTCTTTTTGTTATGTCCCTGGTATCACTCATTGTTAAACAATGCTCCCTTGACAGCCAGTATATACATGAGCCACTGCGATGTCAGTAGGTTTCACTTCTGGTTTCGTTTCACCGTGTCACCTGAAATGTACAAAACACGGACGCGAAGTCTAATATAACGATATACTTTGGAATAAATAATCTGATTGAAAAAGAAACGGTTTCGTTTCCACATTTCACCAGACTCTTGGTTTGCGTGGGGGGTTTACTAGCGGGACACGTAACTAGGTTATTGAGCGTGAAATAAACACCAAGCCTGTCATTCTGCTACCTATAATCCACTGACACTGTGACCTGCCCGGATAACGTGCATTGATAGTATATAATAGCATGGACCTGCATGTGAATCAGCTTCGTCTATTCTCTAGAATATAAATATATGTATGCAACAGCACCATTGATAGTCAATGTGTTTTGAGTCCTTGATATATATATATAAAAAACAATAAATAATTACATATAAATATATAAACAAATATAAATAAATAAATGAATAAATAAATATAAACATTCAAAATTTTCATAAAAAGAGAGCTGGATCCACCTGAAAATTCGGGTATATCTCTGAACCAGTGAATTTTGCAACAGGGAATATGAGTGGATTTTGACTGTGCTACATATTAGCAAGCACTTGGTTAATTCAACCACAGGCGGTTCATCGAACACTCTGGGCAAAATAGCTATCTAATCATTATATCGATAGCGAAACAGGTCACACGTTTAATATGACCAGTAATCATATATATAAAGTCGATGCGTCATAACATATACCAAATGACACAACTGCTACAATGTAGTATGATGTCACATTTGCTGATATACATGAGGAGTCACCAAGGCTCTCCCTTATATTATCAGCATGCTTCTACCCGTTTTCAATATACCGGGATGTTGTACCTGTATATGCGAGTTGCCAGTGTTCTCTGAGACTCAGGGTGACGGAAAAGGCAGGGGAGGGTTTGCCACTTCAGATTTGTGTCTGTTATAAAGAAATCAGATATATTATTCTGCTATTATTACGTACGCGTGGGAGGGGTTCCCTCTACCAGGTCCACAGATATTCAGAGATACGTCTACAGGGGTGGATCCAGAGATATTTTCTGACAGTCTTCCAAATTATCTTTGTTGACCCATCCTCATTTTTGACCGTCTTCCGGCAGAAAAAATTACATACCCGTCAATGTAAACTTGAAAATTTGACAGTCTTCCGGAAGACCCAGAAGACGGCCTAAATCCGCCCCTGCGTCTATGGTTAAAATGTTGGTTAAAATCTCTCGCGTAAAAGTCCACATAAGATAATATGCAGCCCTGGTAGAGGGTAAGGGAAGGAGGGGATCGAAACAGCATAGGGGCATACCACTGGGGCATGCACTATACATATACATAACGATGTAGGCTACTTGTACGGGCATGCATGCCACATGTAGCACGAGTGTCGATAATTTCGCCAGCTCTATGTATTGTAAACTACTGCGTGTGGAATATGTAGGGCCCTGTATATCATACATATTATGTATGCTGCATTTTACCCACGGCGGTTCAGCAGACACATAGTGGTAGGCTACACACCGGCTTATCCTGGTTTCTATGAAGGTGGCCAGCAGTTTCCGCTCCCACCCCAAGGGTAGAAACAGAATAATTTTGTCCACTGCAAATATACTCCAACGTAGTATTAATACTTGTGTACATGTACAGTTGCCCTCTATATATATACGGTTGTGTATACTGAATATATATGGTGGCCTAGTTAACAGCTCGATTAAGAGAAAAATCAAAGAAACCGTGGGCCTACATTTCCATACGGCACTATACTCGCATTGAAGGCTTTATATTCAGTTAACGTCTCACATACTGGTATATTGCTTGGCACACACTCCAATGTAGTGGTGGGTGGGTGGGTGCAGTCCCCATGCTATTCTAATTCTGCGAAATGGGGTCTCGGTCCTCCATTTCCCTGTCGTATAGCGACGCTAAAGCTGCATTTAAACTTGTGCCCTTCGATCGTTAAAACTTGTGATATGCGTACACACTAAATATGCACTAATCGTCCATGTAAACAATAACCACTAAGGAAATACACCGCGTGACTTATAAATAGGCCAGTTAACTAGGTCAAGTAATATCCACGTGTTAAAGTTCGGTTTGCAACAGCTGGAAGAGAGAGTCGCGGTTTTTATATTTTTGTTTGCCCCACCCCTTCCCTTCTCTAAACGTTCATATCTCAATCTTAAAAGGGTATCTGAAATAACAACGCCATTGCAAACGGTTTACAGCTGTGGTGTGAATAAAAATATATGGCACTGGAGGTGTGGCAATATTTTGATCAACACTGTAGGCCATATAATGCGTAGCAAAGACAAATAGATAAATAATAAAAAAAAATGATAAAAGAAAATATACGGGCATATACAAAATTTAAAACCTGAATAATGATAAGAATGAAATGATAATAACGACGAAAACAACTAAACAAACAAATAAATTAATTAATAATGATCAGATTGTTGATCTTAAACTATGTAAATTAAGTCAAAAGTCAATTCGTTTAAACACATTAAAGTAACTGCCTTTACTTTATTCTTTAATTGGCCTCTGAAGTGAAAAGTTAATGTCAAGAAGTTCTTGTTCTGAACAACACTGAACACTTGTCGGTGGTCTAGAAACTGAGGGTCTCTGTGCAATACAGACTCCGCCCTCCATTACATTCATACAGGTATGGGTAAGCGAAACGTAAGGGGTCAAAATCTAGCCCGGGGCTTCCCTGTACAAGTAAATGGGAACCGGACCCTGTAAAACGAGGTCTTTCTCCTATGACTCGATCAGGTATGATAATCTGAAACTGATAATCTATTTCCCAAACAATTCGTTTACACCAGTTTAATCAAAATATTTTCATCCCCCAGATAGCGTATCATTTCTGCACTGTAACGAGTGACTGCAGCAGTGACAGCAGAGCTTGGGGATTATACAACATGCAATAATTAAAGGGCTGGTTTCCTGAGTCGATCGACTGTTATTTTGAATCAAAATGGATGAGGGATATGTTAGTGCAAAATCCGACACCAGTTCGAAAGGCATTTCTTACATCCAGTCCATAGGTGACCAGGACACAATATCACAACTGGAAACAATCGACGAAGAAAAAGACTGTACAGAAAGACGCATACATTCGTCACTTTCAAAAGCGGCTGTGTTGATACTGCTAGCGTACGCCTGCGAACGCGCTGCGTACTTCACAATTGTTAACTATATGAACGAGTTATGGCTGGTCACTTTCAATTCAACGACGGCGTCAGCAGTTGTTGTTCACATGGCGTTTGTAGGTGAGTCAAAGGCCATGCAGGTTATTAAAAGTGTGAATCGATGTTTCGGACGTTTTTAAAGCACGGCTGTTTATTTTTGTTTTGATTGGCCTTGCAGTTTTCACGATAAACCAGGGATAATTTGTATTCGCAGGGGCATCAGCATGCTTGGGGATATTTGGTGGGACGATGGCTGATACGTTCTTACGCCCAATACCAACATTAACGATTGGATATGTTCTTTTTAGTCTTGGTAAGTTTTAATAACGTAAATTTTAGATCGGTCTTTTACTTCCGTTAGGACTCCCATTTTCGGGTTCAAATTTGCCATACACAAATAGTAGGTATGTATCAGAAAACTGAAGTGGGAGTGCTATCGCAAAAAAAAAAAAAAAAAAATATATATATATATATATATATAAATCGCGTGAAACTGAATCATATAGAGGCGCGGTTGTGCAAATGGATGGGCCAGATCGTCTATATATAGGAAAATCTAATGTCTGCCCACTCCTTGATGGTGTGTCTATAGTTTCTTTTTCTCCTTTTATAATATATGACAACCTGTAGTAAACTGTTGTTAATTCTCATGTTTGGTTTTCGGAGTTCTGTCGTATTTTATATTACATATAAACTGATTTTGATTAAACCAGTGTAGAGATGGTTTCTCTTCTCTGAATCAAATTGATGGTGAAATTTGACATTACCTGGTTCAAAGCCTATCGGTATTATTATTATTATTATTATTATTATTATTATTATTAATTTTTCAGGTCTCATTTTCCTCGAATTTGCTGAACATATTGAGGTAAATACTCAAAAAGAAGAAAAAAAACCTATAGAAGGGCTTTGGTGTTCTATGTGGTGTCTTTATTTGGTTCATAGCCAGACAAAACCTTTATATTACCCAGTAGCAAACACAGAACGTCATTATAATATTACCATAATTTTTATATAAAAAAAAAAACGTTCTGGTAACGTTCTGGTAACGTTTTAAAACGTATTGTTCATAGTGAGAAGTGACATGTGCTGAAGAAATGTTGGCATCACTGTGTTATAAAACCTGTACTTTGAATTTAAAAAAAATCATTTTAACGTACAAAATTGTGATGACAACTGTCAAGGCTGTGATATCAGTATATTATTAGCTTGTTATCATGACAAACTGTGTTTGGGTTGTATTTGATATCAATTGCGCGCGCGGTTTAGCCTCCGAGATAACAATAGGCAGCGGGTCATCGATCAGTAGTATGTTTTCGTTGATGTGGGTAAATCTAGTCCGTCCCAAAAGCACTATTAGCAGGTAAGGTGGTGTTAGACCCTTGTAGGCCTATTACTAATTTAAGAGAGAGGTGATGGATAGCAATCTAGGACTGGAATGAACTTGAATGACCGATCCACATGTCTTCCTTTACTCCTATGTTCGTCTAGACAGTGTATTTTCTCGACTAGTGACACAACGCCACCTGTGTCACTTTGAATCTGACGAAGATGGCCGATTGCTTTCATGTGAGTGATGAAATTTGTAATTAGTTTGTGACAAAAGAGTGTTTTCATTGCTATTTCCTTCCAAACAGGCGAAAAACTTTAAACATTGTTATTATATTAGCATTAAATATTTATCTTAGCGTTCCAACAGCACCGCAAAACATCTTGCCGTGGCTGGACTGGCAACGGCTGCTTTTGGACAGGGCTGTATTGGCGCCGTGTTACCGGTAGTTGGCGCTGAACAGTTACCAGACGAGAAGCATCGAAGGCGTTATATTCATTGGTAAAGTTATATATTCATTTTTGGGGTACTTATTTTGTTTATTATTATTATTATTATTATTATTATTATATGAACCTGGTATCAGTTCGAAAATTCAACAATCGATACAAGAAAAAGTCTAGTGTTAGAATATTAAGAAATTAATCAATGGTTCACAAAAATGCCTGTTTTCAGTTAACTAGACGAATGAGAGTCTAAGGTCAACTTGTAAAAAAGAAAAAAAATCATATGTACGATAATAACTTTATTGTATACATTTTCTTTAAATGTACGTCTACTGATTTATATGTGCTATCTTTTAATATTTTAGCAGAAAAATTAATATCCCATTAATATTTGAATGAAGATATAGTTATTAATGCGCCTATACTACAAACAAAAGCAAAACTTTTTTTTCTAAAACAGGTTTTATCTTTGGCGCAATGTTGGGGCCATGATTGCAGACATATCGAGCGCTATTTCGGAAGGAATTCCGGACTTACCACTTCACTTCAAGTTTCTCATCGCTCCTCTGTCAGGTCTGCTCTCTCTGATTCTCTTTTTTGTGGCACTTTGGGTCAGAGTGCGATCACCATATGAAAAGAAAGGGACTTTTCGTAGTTCAGGTAACTTGACTGAAATCAGACGTGTTTAACGCGTTTGAAAATGCCCCAAAGTGATACTGTTGTATGTTTGTATATTCTTCAAAGCTACTAATCTTTCCCAATTCAGATTTTTTAAAAAATACTATAAACCTCACTTTGATAGTTCCTTCTGAAAGGTACAGAAAGACATGACGTTGTAAATGTCTGGCCAGTCATTTATGGAATAAAGTAAAAGATCAGATCAAATTGCAGGGACGACTAATGACCATAGTTCGTGAGGATGAGAAATTTGTTTTTGACTCCGAAGAGAATACATTTTCGCAGGTTAATCCCTTATTGAGTACATGTGTTCCTTTAATATCATTCGTAATATACTCGTATTTACCTATGTGGTTTGTCGGTAGCTTTTCTACAACATAGAAAGTCATTTCATGCGTCACTTTTGGAAAATGATAGATATTATACGTATGAATATTTTCCGTGTTTTGACATTTTAGTGACAGCTTTACATGAAACGCTCACAGCTACATTAAACTTCTTCAAGAGAGGACGCCGAGGAGGGGCGAAAGGCAAGTTTTCAAAGAGACTGGACAAAAAAGAACCAGACGCCAAAGAACAACATAAAAGAAACCGTGTCCGAGATCTCCTCAGGATCCTTTTGGTTAATTCGGCGGTGGTTGGGTTTGGGTTCCTTTACACGCCGGTAAGGATTGGCCGATTTGATCAAGAGCCCATCCGAAGGTTAATCGAAATTTAATCAATTAGCTGATCAATTTATTTATCTATCAGTTGTTAGTCAGTTTAATTACTCAGTCAGTAAGTCCGTATCCACTTTCGTAAGAAAATGATTTTTTTTTCAATGAAATGTCTGATCAACTAAATAAGACCTCTGGGCTCTATGTTATCAGTACGGTTTTCTCTACTCTCTACCAGTACAATCTTTCTTTCTTTTTACAGATAATGACGATATATTCGTTACAAGCCACCGGACTCAACAGTACCGTGAACGGACATTTGTTTCCTTCTCCATCCACACAGATCATATTATTCAACGAAGTGGTGATAGTGCTCGTTATCCCTTTTACCATCTACTATTTGTATCCACGGATATCGTCACGGAAACGGCGACTGTATATATCTAGAACATGTATGCACGTGTACCTTTCTCTTAGCTTTTGATGTACCCCTTCTCCACCCCCACCCCTGCCCCCTTCCAAAGAGAGAAGTCTCACTAAAAACAGACCAGCCATTTTCCACATACAGTATGTTTCCTATGTAATCATCATATATTGTCGTCTTCCACTGTTTACATTAATCCTTGACCCCCCCCCCCTCGCCCACCTCTCCTTATTAAGCAACATCCCGGATCAGCCAGCACATAGCAATACACAGTGACACGACAAGGTAAATAGGTTGGTGCTAGGGGAATATAATGTAATTGTACCCACAGGGGCCTCAACTCACGCGCCCATGCGTGTACTGTATTCCCCCTGCTTAATACTCTAGTGTCCCTCCAAAGTGGAAATTAATCAACAGTAATCAAAAAGTGATATAAAAGAATCATAGCCCCCATTCAGAATAGGGGACTAACTAGTCCGAGAGTCAAATATGGCGACCCACTACAATGCTTGCCGTCTTATCCGCTAATAGACACTGAATAGATATCTCGTGGGGAAGTATTCAAGTGGGTCGGCCATATTTGATCCTCGGACTAGTTAGTCCCCTATTTTGAATAGGGCCATACATATATTTTTGGTTACTGACGTGATTCAAGTGGTCACTTTTGTGGAATTACCCTCCTCACTACTGTACACGTGTCCCAACACATACTTTTATAGCGTAATTAAGCTTCGGTTATCGTTGAGTTTTATTTTACTCTAAAATTTGGAATTTCCAGTGGTCAGTTATTCAAATAGTATGACTTGAACTGCGCCAAATATACATTATACCTACATGTATAATGTAATTCATGTTGATTATAAACCATGTAAAATGATTTACTTCATCTACACCAAATAACTGAGAATAGATGTAGGTAAGGTAATGACAGTGCGAGTGAAAATTCCTCCCAATAAAAATGATCTCTCCATTATCTTTAATCGTCCGTTTTTTCCTAGGTGTTGGGGTGGTCCTTTCCATTATATCTGGACTGGTTGCGATTGCGTTGGAAATGGGGCGTAAGATGAATTGTGCTCAAAACCGGGGTTTTTCCACCATTAGCATCTTTGCTCAGGGCCCACAGTATGGTCTTATCGCTCTCGCTGAAGTGTTCACTGCTCTCACAGGTACAACACGTTGGTTTTTTT